GTGTCTTTAGATGTTGTTCTGTAAGTAGTGGTACCTAATTCACTTTCTGTAAAAGCTTCATTAAATAACGTTGTTTGTTCCGTTCCAGTCTGAAGTATTTTATGAGACGTACTCTCATAATTTGTCGATCTGCCTTCAGTGCTAGATTCATGATCAACAATACTGGGGGAAGGTGTTTCAGAAATGGCTGGAGTGCTTCCCTTTTCAGTGTCTTTAGATGTTGTTCTGTTAGTAGTGGTACCTAATTCACTTTCTGTAAAAGCTTCATTAAATGACGTTGTTTGTTCCGTTCCAGTCCGAAGTATTTTATGAGACGTACTCTCATAATTTGTCGATCTGCCTTCGGTGCTAGATTCATGATCAACAATAATAGTGGAAGGTGTGTCAGTGACGGCTGGTACAAGTAGAGTCCTTCCCTTCTCAGTGTCTTTAAATGTTGTTCTGTAAGTAGTGGTACCTAATTCACTTTCTGTGGCAGTCCTTGCTTTGTTGAATAACATTGTATGTTTTCGATTTACAATTGAATTTATGGTGTTTCCTTCTATCAGTTGTGGAGTACTACTAACTAAGATTGTCTCTTCACTTTCTGTTCCTGTATAATGGGATGTAGTGGTTTCCTCAAATGTACCAATTTCCTTGGAGGAGGATGTTTCCTCACTGCCATCAAACTTTTTCTCCGTAGTAGTTTCAGGTATTGTATTCTTTGTTTGGGCTATTGGAAAGTCACTCCCGACAGTCTCATGCAGGGTTGACAAAGCTCCTTGAGGCGTCACTGACTCAGAGGAGAATCTTGGAGTACTACTTCCATCTAAAGTTTCTGTACTAGGATCACTCCTAATTGTTGTTTTAGGGTCTAAATAGGATTTTGTGAACGTTTCGTAGGGTACCGTACCCACTGACGTTTCTTCAAAATATGATGGCATAGTTGATGAATGATGATCCACATCAGTATTGGTTTTAGGTTTTAAAGTATCTTGGGGGCCATCAGTTTGTACCTCTGTCGGAATGAAGTTCTCAGAGCCACTTTCTGTAGAGTTTACTGATGGCTCTGTTGGAAAACTCACATTCACCAAGGCTCTGCTATCAATTTCTGGTGTTTCAGGGATTACAGTAATTTCAGGATGAATAGTTGGAATCTTCTGGGCAGGTATTAATTCTTCTTGGATAGTTGATCCGATGCCTGACAAAGTTGTGTAACTTTTATTATTAGTATCTGTTGAAGCTTCACCAGTACTTGTGCCACCATGTGTTGTTTGTGTCACAGGTAAAGTTGGGGAGATTGTAACAGTAGATGAAAAAACTGTACCGATTGATTCAGTAACTTCCTTGTCATGAAGGGTCGAGTAAATTCCATTGAAAGTGGTTAAAGTTTCAATTGTAGAACTAGCATTGTCTCCTTTTGGATTCATTGTAGAAGAGTGTGAAAGGGTACTTTCAAAATTGCCTTCATTTTTTAAAGTGGTGCTATCCAGATCAAAAGACGGAGATGTAACGTCAGTTTCAGTACTACTCGTGAAGAAAGTGGATGACAGAGTTGAATGCAAAGTTGCCTCTTGAATGGGTGAAGACGAAGTTATCGGTTTATCTGTAAAATCATTTTGGGTAGTCAAGTCGGTACTTACATTAGATAATTGAGGAAAATCAGTGATTACTGAGGCTGGAGGAGTAATACTTCCAACTTTTGACTCGATGGTCTCATTAAAATTTGGAAAACACTCTAGAAGGGGATTTCCGTCAAAATTAGTTTTACACACACAAGAAGGCTCATGTTGAATAACCATACATTCTGCATTTGTGCCACACCTTTTAAAGGAGCAAGGATTTTTGCAAGAGCCATTTATACACGCTTTTGCTGCAATACAGTCCATGTCATTAGTGCATAGTGCCAGGTTGCTAACTGTGAAAGTACCGAAAAATATACAGAAAAAAAATGAAATTATAAGCAGTGATAGTAATCATAAGACAAAAAATCAAACAAGACAAGTCTTTAAGAATTAAAACATAAAGTTCATTATATTATTGTATTACTTTGTATCTTCGACTAAAATTAGATTAAAAATGGCTTGTCACTTTATGATAAGTATATTTTCAATACTGTACGCAGCTTCTTAATTTGTCTCACAAATGATTGAGATATAATCTTCAAAGAGGAGAACAACACAAAATACTGAGTTTTATTAAATTGAAGAAAATCTAAAATATTTTTGTCTCATTTTGATTCATAAAAATTGAGGGCATATCTAAAACAATGATAGATCTGCTCAAAAAGATACCAAATGATATGACCAGAAAATTAGGAATTGAGACCAGGAAAAAATAATGAAGGAGAAAAGACATGGTAGAGGAGGAAAATTTTGATGAAAGATCAACTTAGAGGGAGATACTGCAACTAAAAAATATGGAAAAAATTTTCGAGAGTCACAGATTGGAAGAAGCAAGGATGATTTACCGATGTTACACCAATATTTGCAAACCACTTGTACATCAAAGTAAAGGAAACTAAAATGACACTCAAGAACTGCCAAAGATCAAAGTCCTTAAATAAGAAAAATAAGTAGAAAAGTGTTTGGAACCCCTTTATAAAGCATGATATTGATGAAAAAAGTGAAATATTCCTTGAAAACATGCATGGCAAGGTCAGTAATCCTGCAAAAGGAATAAATTTGATGAACTTGAAAGTTCTTCAAGGAGGATAATGTTTCGAAATTGGTAGCACATTTTCATAATTATATCTGGAGTGGGTATATCCTCTAACATTTTTGTGTAAGAGTCATTTCTAAATTACTCACCAAACAGGGCCACTCTCAATTTAATTCATGTGAGAAGGAATGAAAAAAGTCAGAAAAAACGTAGGATTCAATTGAAAAAAAAGGAAAGCTAATAAACACTGTTTAGAGATGAATTACCTTTGACGCATCCAAATTTAGGGTCAGGAGTATATCCAACAGGACAAAATTTGCAGACAGGTTTGTGGTCTTGGACAGCACAAGGAGATTGGGAAGGACAACTGAAGTTTTTACAGGGGTCAATACAAAGGTAATTTCGACAGGATAAATCAGAGGGACAGCCAGCATCTCTCAAACAGATGGAAATTGTAGATGGCTGGCAATCTTTGGCGCAAATACAAACTGGCTTGTGGGCAAACACACTACATGTCTTGTTCTTCCCACAAACTATGAAGGGACAAGGATCAACACATTTGTTTTTGAGACACGCTAAATTTGATGCACAGTCATCATTGTTCCGACATTCAGGCTTGGTAGGAGCACAAAACAAATCTCCCGCTTCATTAACAGCATAACCCGTCTCACAAATGCAGACTGGCCTGTGGTTTAGAACGTGACATTTCTTATTATTGGTACAGTTTAAAATATTTTTATTATCTATATAAGAGCATGGATTTTTACAAAAACCATCTATACATGTTAAATTTGACGGGCAATCATTATTTAAGGAACACTTTTGACTAGACTTTGATGTACAATTAGAATCAAGGTAACAACTTGTTTCAGGAGAGCCTTTGTAACAAGGAGGACAGGAGCAATGGGGCTTATGGTTTTTGGGAACACAAAGGGCATTGAGACCACAAACATCTTTGAAACTGCAAACGTCCACACACTGCTGATTTGTACAGGTTTTATCAAACGAGCAATCGGCATCACTGCTGCATTCTTTGTCCAAGTAGGCAAAAAGAGACAGAAAAGAAATTGCAGATGTATTTAACAGCCAAAACAGCACGATCATGATTTAATGAAATGGACAAGGAACATGGGAGACAAAAAACACATGAATGATTCATCCTAGCAGTAAGCATTAAGCAATATGCTTCTATAAAAGTTGTGGGGACTGCGGGGTGCAGAAAATGCCTGATGACTTCAATCAATGGTGGAAAATTTTTGCGGAAAAACTCAAATTTTGAGAGAGAATGATATTTAGTGGAAAAATTAAAGTCTTCACTGTGAAAAAACTGAAAATTTGAGGAAGGTCAGGTTTGAGCATGTATTCTTAGATCATCAAGCCACGAGGAAAAAATGTTGAATCATTCTTAATGGTCATCGGTTTCAAATTTTCTGCACCCCTTAGAATTGGTGCATACTGTAACATAATTTTGAATTTCCTCCTCCTTTAAGCAACAACCGACTCTAGAGTATAACTTCATTTCAATTACCACAAAAGCAAAATACTGATTTTTTCAACTGCCACATTAAACCTTTTTTCAAAAGAGGGGCTTTCTTTAAATAATTTAACTGATATTTGAACATTCATTTCGGTCATCTATCCTTGGGAATTCCATTCTGCGCAAAAATTAATCAAGAGGTAAAAATATAAAAACCCTAGAAAAAGCTTGTGGCAGGTAGAATAAAATCGATGATCCTAAATAGACATTGCGGCTAAATTATTTAGAAAGTTAAACATTTTCAAACAACTAATTTTAGTAACTGACTTTATTTCACCCCATTTAATGCAGAGCACTAAAATATTATCTTCGATTTTTTTTAAGACTTTAAGCAATTGTACAAACCTATAAAAGAAGTGGAAAAAAAGCTTGAAGTAAATATATTCTGCAGGAAGAACGCAAAAAAGGGATGGGAAGCGTAAGCTTGACTGCTTTCAGTTTGTCTATACAGTCTACGGTTACCATTTTCACTTTGGCGGAAATAATATTCCTTATTACAAGTTTGTAGACTGTTCAGACTTCTAATTACCAAGACAGATAATACACTTGAGAGTGTACAGCATGAGTTCAATTACAAAGGAAAAGAAGATGAACTGAATGATAAGTAGTTGTTGTGCGATGAGATACAGTTGAAATTCAGTCTTTAAAAATATCTGAGACCAAAAAATACCAATCAAAGCGAACACAAAAGTTATCATGAGCCAATCAACATGAGAGCACTCTAGAAGCTAAAGAAGAATTTGGCAACATAGAATCAACCTAAAACGGCAGAATTTTTATCTTCGGAGCAGACATAGAACTTTACTGAAATAAGTATTTATAGTTGAGAGGCAATAAACTCCCATTGTTAGCTGCAGATTTCATGTATTAGAGGATATTGAGGAAAGTGACCGGTATTAAAAGATTTAAGAAGGCATGGAACTACGATAACTTCAAAATAGTAGTTTACACCAAAATCTAAATGAAAGAATGAAATACGCAAAACATCCTTACACTTTCAAAAATGAAGATGTGGAGTTTATGGGGATGAAACTCTTGGTGAAATGAAGCTGAGAAAGAAAGAAAACTATCCTGACAAACTTGAAATCAGACTTGAAACCAGACTTGAAACCATATACTCGTACACCTCAGATGCTGCCTAATTTATCTCATGACTGTGGAATGGCCTCAGATTACAGAAAAAATTAAATAAATGAAAAGATAACCAGAGAAAGGATGAAAAATACATCTGATTCAACAAAATTCTGAAGGACAAATATCGCTTTAGACAAACCATGAGATCTACCACTATGAATAAATCTACGTCACTTCAAAAAAAATGAACAAATATTTATGGATGATGACATTTGGTCACCAAACATCAAAATGAGTCCTGGCAACTGATAAACATAACAATCCTGGGAGGTCTACTCCATAAGATGGTAAAGTCACTTTGATAATCACAATCATCGACTAAAAGATTCAAATGTTTCCTAGCCCATTGTTAAATAATGAGATACAACAACGAATACGGGTGGTAGAGAGAGCAAATTACTAAGTAATATCCGTGGGAGGCTGAAATTGTCAAAACCATCATTCCTTTCACACATCAATCTCTTATGAAGAAATCAAATTAATGGATATATTCAGGAATAATTCATTATTTGTCTTACCTGGAATGCATTTTTTTTTGGGATCTCCAAGAGTGTTTGGTGGACACTGACACTCATGGGTGGGACCAACAAATACACAGATAGCTCCAATCCCACACTTGGTAACTCGACAATCAACAGAAACCCTCCCAATTTCCGTTGAATCTGAGACTGATTAAAGAAAAGAAATGAGGTATTAAAAGATGCAGGGGAATTCTTTTTCCCCCTAATATGAAATGTTGCATTGCGAAGAAATAGTCGTCCACTTGCAAGACAAACTACAAAAGAGGGCAAAATTAAAAGATCAGGGTCAAAACCATCATTTCATGGTTGGAGTTACAGAAATTGGTGTAAAGTCATAGTCTTCAGGGCTTGTACTCATCATATAAAGCAAAAACTCATTTACGTAAAATCTTCTCTTGCAGAGTTACGCTGTTGCGCTGTTTGGGACAGCACTTGTTATGACCCATCAGGAGGGTGACTGCAAACACGTTTTGGGTCTGCATGATTGGATCCATAATCAGAGCAAAGCAGCCTCCTGACATTCTGCTTTCAAGCTCAAATATGTTGTTAAAACAAAACCAAAGATTGGGAAAGCAGCTGCAGCAGTAAGCAAACTTACTGCCAATTAGTGATTTTTCTTAATTTCTTCAAATATTTATTTTTATTTTCCTAAAATTCACAAAATTCGCAGATAATCTCTAATTGAGACCCATTGCTATCTGGTATATATACTCCAAAAGCCATTGAAGCAGCATCTTAGTTGAGGAGAATAAAATTACTTCAACTTAAAAATAAAACAGAATCTATTCATATGTACCTTCACAAGATCCATTTTCATTCATTATAGATCCTTTTGAGCAAGCACAGTAGCTGACATTTTGGACGGTAATGCATTCAGCACCTCCAGAGCACTTTCCCTCTATGCAGTTTGGCAAAATGCATTCATTTTTGATGATCATGTACGGAGGATTGCATTGACACTCCGTAGAATTGCACTCTAAAAAAATTAAATGGACGTTATGCAAGAGAACCAAGCAATAAAGAGAAGCCAAAAATATGAGAATTAAACATTTGGTAAACTTTATTCATATACTATTCTACTAAAAGAAATCTGCTGTCTCACAGTCAGTATATTGATAATGAAACTCCCAAACCAAACTTTCTGTTATACTCTATTTTTTAAGTGATGAACTACTCAATGTCAATTCTTAGAAATTCCGTGATACTTTTTCTGTAGTCAAAGCAAATTCTGAGAAAACTTCAAGATATGATGTTCATCCGTTCTCCTTTAAAAATATAAAACGTTGTGTATAAAAACGTGCATAAAAATATGTTACGCTGTGGTTCGTCGTTTGGGAATTTCACCATTGATACGAAACTTTATTTTTCCTAGCAAGATGCCGATTTTGATTTTAAGATTTACGTTTAATCAGTACACTACACAGAAAAAAAGCCCCAGACAACTGGATGTACCAGGCAGGAAAAATCTATCAACATAGCCTGCAACAGCAATCATGGACTACACATTATTTCTTACCCTTAATGGTACAAATTAATTTTCGATTCTGCAGAAATAATTTTATGATGTAAATTTGTGAGAAAATAGACCCACAGCTTAAAACTATAAGCCAGACGTGACTGGATTATATGGTCAAGGCTCCTTCGAACCGCAAACGCAACCAGCATTACAAACTGTAATAAAATTGAATTTTATCTAAGGCTCTGAAAATATGAATCTACTATTTTCGGAGAATTAAATACTTCTCCCTCAAAAAGAAAAATTCAAGACAAGACTCTGAAAATTAAAAAAAAAAACACTTATCGAATTTTCAATATACGTACATTTGTTTTCTTAAATATAGAGCTTTTAGCTCCATGTTTCATGGTTACATTTATTAACCTGGCGCATTTGCTTATCTAAAATTTATAAAAAGACACTTGTCCTTTTGAAATTACATTCTGACAAGCAACTGTGATATCCTCAAGTATAGTTCTATTGGGAACTTTATTTTGATGGTAGGAAAAATTTAAAAATGCCAAACTTTGCTAAAATCAAGTTACTTCATACACATACACATACCTTGGCAAGAAACAAAAGGATTTCCTATGTATCCTTCTGGGCACTGACAATCATAGTTCCCTAGTAAATTTTTACAGGAAGCGTGAGCTCCGCAAACAGGATTTTCATTATCTGAGCATTCATCAATATCTTCACATTCTCCGGTGGTTGAATTTCTTGAAAAACCTTCTCGACAAATGCAAACTTTTTCCTCTAAAAAAAGGTCTTTAATGCAAAGCTCCGAATCTGGGCAAGGACTATTATCACTGCATGTGAATGACTGAGCTTTCGATTGGGTACAACCTAGGAAGAGATGAAAAAAGGGAAAAGTAAGCAAACGGATACAGCAATTTTTAGAGTTTAAAAAATTGAAAGCTGAGCAAAGACATAAATAAATGAATAGAGAGAGATTGAAAAGAGTTTGAAGAGAGTGGAGAGATTGAAAGATAGCCAATACAGTGTATTCTATAAAATTAGATGAAAATAGCATTCATTTGTCTTTCTTTAAAAAATAAAGCAACATTGGAGATTTTCAGACAGTAGAATTGAGATGCATGTCTTGGACTTCCAACACTGAGGAATTTTAAGACAGAGAGATGGTTCGTTTGCCATTAATTTTAAAAATCGGTATGAAACTGAAAATCTTACGATAACAAACAAAATTTCATACTTTCATGCTTGATTTCTCTGCAGAAAAATGCACTGGTAGGAGTTGCACCCAATCAGGAAAGAGACTATTAGTGCATTCTAAGAATGACTACTACAAGTCAGTACTAAGTACTGACTTGGTAAAACCTCCAGATTTTTTACTTCCTCTTTACAGGAGATCATGACGAGCGCAGGTAAACAATCAGGGAAGTATACTAAGCTGATGTGAGAAGAAATTAGGCCCCAGATTTGTTCCTGATTGGTCATAGTTGGTATTATACAAAATGAAAATGTTTTGAGGGAGAGAGCTTCTTCTATTTATTATGACAGTGTAAGCACCCTCTCTTTATTTTAAAAAGAAATAAATAATTTACCTACCTTCTTTGTAAGGCTCACCAACTGTTCCTCGTGGGCAATGACAAGTGAAGCTGGCAATTCCATTCACACAAACAGCACCGGCTGAGCATGGTCCGCTGGCACACTCGTTGATGTCAACACAGCCATTTTTCTTACTATCACTAAATCCAGGCTTGCAGATACACAATGCTTTATTCCCTGATAGAGTGCACATTGCATTGGCATTGCACCTGATTGTTTGACAAGGGTCTGAAAATATACAAAAATATGAGGGAACAATTTTAATAGAAGAAAGGAATTACTACACTTTGTTTGATTTCAATATGAGAGATCCTCTAAAAATGGAAAAAAAATATTGCGTAAATGTATACCAAAAAAAGGTATAGGAAAATTAGGAATATAAGGAAATATTATGAAGAGGAAAAAAATTGAGTATGTTTACAAGAAATGTAGACACTCCTTAGAAATTAATGAACTTTGGCAAAAATTGATTGGGTCTCATTTGTAAGTTCTTCGACTAGCAACATCTGAATGTACTAGTTTTTCTATTTTATTACAAAAGATTATTACAACAACAAAATCCAGTAACATAACAGAGGAATGGTGGGAGGGAAGGAGGGAAGGAGGGGAGAGAAATCAAAATACTAACCAACACAACCATCCAAAATGCTGCTGGAGTTGTACAGATAACCATCTTCACAGTGGCATTCTGCTTCTTTACCTTTTGGTTTACAAATGGCATGTTTCCCACACTGAACATCTTTACATGGATCTGCAGGTTCTGAGAGTCCTGTGAATGCAAAGAAATATACTTGTAAAATCTTGAGTAGAAAAAACACTTTCACAATCTAAAAATGCAAAAAAGGTGCATAAAGATTGATTTGAGATAAGATACTAAGAAGTTATACTTATCAAGTTTGGTAACACTCTATGTATTTAAAACATAGTAAGTACATATGGGACGTGTAGCTTGTCTCTTATTTGCAGGATAAATGATTCCTACTCAAGAAATATACATTTGAAGTAACTACAATACCGTTAAAAATTCAGTTCTGATCAGGAGTCTTTTTGTAAAGATCACACTGACACTTCGGAGTTCCTCTAATCATAACTATATGTCAATATTCAATATTTTCTGAATGTTCACTTTAAGTATTTACAGAAACTATACTTCTGTGATAAAATAGATGAGACGAAGTCAAAGCATATGGTTTCATGCCAGTTTGAGCAGGAGGACTCTTATAACAATAATGTTTTGAAATATAATATTCTTAATTTTAAATTTAAATTTAAAAAAAAAAAAAAACCTCTTTCGGTCATTACCAAATAATTCTTTTAACTTTTCGTTGGATATTCACTTAATTATAAGAAACTTTTACAATGGTGTTGCTGGCTTTAAAATAAATTCCTGTTTGAAAGAGGACCAACTGGGAATAACACATTTGAGTAAGACAAAAATCTGCGTACTTTATCTCTTCATGGTGATAAAAAAAAAAAGCATATGGCGAAAACACGGAACAAGGTATGTAGATGGATTTAAATATTGATACACCTGACTATAATCCAAGAAACTAAAACCTCCACAGCTTTCTTCATTTCCTGATTAGTGTTTTTAATATTGAGCTGCGATAGATAATTATTGCCTAGCTTGAAATTATGATTTAGAACCAGAATTGCTTTTTTTCACATATAATAATAAAAAAAAAGATTTTCAAGCATTCTTGCCTAGTTGTAATGATCAGATAAAATAATTAAAAGAAATGAAAAATACACAAAGAGACACATGCTGAGATGATCTGCTGTCCGTTTGGTGTTTTTTTGGCACTTCTCACAAATGATGAAAAAAGTACAACACTTCTCTTATGAAATAAAACAAAAAAATTAAAACTATGATAATACATAAGGTCAATCAGATAGTCACTAAAGGGAACACCCTAACACCTAAAACAATGCTGACTTCAGCTTTGCAGAAGTTAAATGAGATAACATGATTTTGGACAGATACATGATTTGGAAACATTGATGAAACAAGCTTGATGTAAACATGAAAAAAGAACTGACTGTTTTCGATTCTTCAAAGAATCAAGACTAGTAAATTTGAGGATGAACAAATTAAAAGGTACATTTAAATCAGTAATAACTTAACTAATAATACTTAAATTTACAATACAAAAACGAGATCAAGTTCAGAGACTTCTCAGCTGAAATTATTTATTGTAGAGACTTCAGAAAACCTTTTAAGAGGAAGGAAAAAGATGCAGATAGTTCAAAAAGAAACTGCTTTTGACTTTTAGCAGTATTACTACAGCCCATAAAAGGGAATCAGATCATGAGGTAGCGACTTTTTTTTGATTCTGATTCAAAGAAGCCCACATGCATTTTTTCTCGTAACAGGATTAAAGATGAAAGAGGAAAGGACTGTCACTTGCAAGAAAATAAGAAACATTTGAATTCAAAGAATAGATATGTCAAGGTTTATACTCTGTTAGAGAAAAAGATGTCGACATTAGGTTGTATCCATTGATGCTATTTTCTTCTTGGCTGTGATGAAATGTTGGCATCTTTGTCTCTAATCTGCGAGTTGCTTGAACCCACTTTTACTTGTAGTGCTTCACTTACAAATTGAGCTATTTTTGCCCCAGGTTTAAAGTGTTGCGGAAAACAAATATCTAGGTACTTTGTGCGATTTAGGAGTCTAATTTATTGAAATAATTGCAAGCGCCAGCTCATTCTAGAACTAGGCAAATCACTAAATTTGCTAAAAACAATTACCAATCAATTTGCATTAAACAGAAAGGAACCAAGCCACATCAACTATTGCCAAATTTAATCGGGCAATTTAATTTTTTACATTACAACAGTTGAGCGGATTTTCGGGGCCAAACTCAGGGAATTTTCTTCATACTACGAAGCAAATTATTTGACACTTTTAAAGGAATCCGCACAAACGTTCTCTCATAAAAAATTAAATTGCCCAGTTAAATTCGGCAATAGCTGATGTGGCTTGGTTCCTTTCTGTTAACGCAGTCCAATTAACAACTCGAGTTTCAGTCAACTTGAATTTTCGAAGAGTAAACACTTTTAGAATGCAAGCAGTTGAAACAATTGGTCAGGTTTCAATGTCACAGATAAAGCATCATTCAATTTAGCCTGGATAAAGAAACAAGATTGATTGATAGAATCCAAGAGATATGACATGGTAAATCCGTCCACGAGACCATTTCAATGAGAGAGAACAGAAGGTAGATAAGATGGAGTCAGGGAAAAGAAGACTTGGGATAAAAAACAAAGACGACTGCACTACTGCATTGAGAGGTTATTTTTACATACATAGCCACAAGGCAAGATGCCATTTAACTGAGTCAAGATAGGGCTTGTACTATTGACAGCTTTAGCTACAGATCAATTCAAACATTTATTACATTCTTTATTCAGTACATTATGACTGAAAATTTTGACTCAGTCTTCTTAAAAGTATTAGAAAGCGATTGACATTAAAAACGGAAAATTCGAATTTTTAATTTAAATTAGTGTTGTACTGTTTTTTGCTGTCTCGTAAGTGAAGTGCTTTTAACCTTAATCCCATTTACCCTGAATCCATCCTCAGATGAACTAGATCAGAATTTATTGATTTGCTTCTCTTTTCTGCATCAGTTTCACTTGAAGGCTGCAAGGTGCGCCAAGTGAAACCTACGAGGAAATGAAAAAACAAAAACTCTGTTAACTCCAGCAGCACACTCTGAACTCCATGAAAAATATTGGAAGAGAAATAAGGATCAAAGATAGACTTACCAAAATAGAATATAGACAAAAAAGGCCAAACTCACACCATTACAACGAGAGGAAGAAAGTGGAGGAAATCCATTCTCGAACTTGGTTGCACTGAAAAATATGATTAGACACAACGAAGACGACACAAGAAAGAATCTTGGAAAATAGATGTAAAGGTGTAAATACACTGAAAAAATTGCAATATTCTGAGAATTTACTAAATATTTTTGGGCACACAAGAAAAACATAAAAACAAAGAAAAAAATTATAAAGGAGAAGTAAAGAGGTAAAAAAAAAGGGCGGAAAAAAGGGGCAAAAAAGTTGGAGAGTCAAAAGCTAGCTCACATCCAGCATCATTAAAATATGATAATAATGGGGCAAGCATTTTTTCTTTTAAAAAAAAAATAATAATCTTGGATGCAAAGCCAGTTTGTGACTTTTATTGACTGGAAGAATGACCATAATTTAAATGCACAATAAAAAAGAAACACAAGAAAAAAAATGAATTAAATTGAAAAGTGAAAAAGAGTAAAAAAATATCAGAGCAACTGGAGAGAAACATTGGACACAAGGTAAGTAAATCAGTAATAAAAGAAAAATAAAATATACATTTTTCAACTCACCGAACTTTGAGGACCTGTGGGGGGGGTATAGGACAAAACAAACAACAAGCATGCACTGAGAGGAGATGCATTAACACATCATGCAAAACATTTAGAAAAAAACAGAGAAGAAAATCACATGCATCAAGTATCTACAATAAATAAGTATAGGTATATACAGAACTTGTCTAACTACAAAAGCACCTCACGAAGCAATTTGAACATATTTTTTTTAACAAAACACAAAAACTTACAAGGAAAAAAAATTCCTCCAATATTAGATATTGATCAATAGAGAGTTTTAATGCAATGTTTGGAAGCCTGAATGATACTATAAAACTCGTTGTAACGAGCTAGCTTCACGACTCGAACCAGAATGTATTCGTTGAATACTTAACATTATACAACCAACATGTAATTTTTGGTGGAAGCTTTGGTTTAAGCTGATAATTATCTGTCAATTTTCCTCAGGTTTGGTTATTTAACTATGCTATGACATTTAACCTTGGTGATTAAAAATTAAAGATGTACTATCAAAATAAATCAATTTCGAAAAAAATCAATTTTGTGTTGGACTAAGATTTAGATGATACGGCAGGCTTTTCCATGTCTTATAACATGACATTATCACAAAAACCCTCCATGATTTATTTAATTTATATCATTATCTTCTTTTTATCAGGAGGAAGAGCACTAAAGCCTTAGTGTTGGCATACTGTAAGCATAGCCTGAAAAGCGGCCCAGCGAAAAGACCCCTGATGCCGCGCTCACTCCTTGTATTTAATCTTGGAACTTAGAATTCCACTCCAAGTATACGGCAGGGTTAGAGCAGAGAAGAGAGAATCTGCTGGAGCCCGTTTCAGAAAGCTTTTCTTCCTATGCTGCCTGTGCAAGATACAGGATTCCATACCCTGCGCATACAGCAAAAAAGGAAAAGTAAGCTGAAACGGGCTTTACTGTCAGTTACTTTCGAGCGTATTCCAGTTTGCCAATACTACAGCTTTGGTAGGCCTCTTTCTTTCACTGATAATAATATGCATTGGAATTATGAATGGAAATGACAAAGAGTGGTCAGCAAAAATAATTTCTGAATTTTAAAATTAATGATTTGGTCCAATGAAATTTTGTACTCTGATTAGAACAAATCTTGAAATAATAACAAGAGTTTGACTCTTTGATATTTGAGATTAACTGCTGTCATTAGAAAAAGTCAGGATAAAAAAGTTGAAGTTCAATATTTCATGAAAAAAACTTGGGAAGTTTCTAGGGCCTACATAATAAAATGAAATCACAATGGAAACTAACTTTCACAGAAATGGTGACCAAGGCTGGCAAATCCATACGGACAAATGCAGACGAACGCTCCTGGAGTGTTTATGCATTTTGCATGAAAGCCACAATGGTTAAATCGATCACATTCGTTGATGTCGTGACAGTGTTTCTTGGGATTTCCCGTATAGCCAGGTTTGCACTCACAAAAGTAACTTCCATTCGTGTTAATGCAAATGGCATGAAGCCCACATGGTGCTGCAGTACACTCGTTGATATCTATTGAATGTTAGTCAACCATACAAAATTTACAGATTTCTGGGTTAGTTTCCGGATCAAACCAATGATACAACGTACAAAAAGGCAATAAGGAGGTTAAACTTGATGCCACTTGAAGGGAGAGGTTCTCTCAATTTACATCATCATAATTATTGAGCCATTTGAACATATTTTACAACATTTATGATGGAAAAAAGTAGTGGTATCAGGGTGCTTTTTCCTACCAAGATAATTTCTCGAATAATTTTGCTTGGATTTTTCAATGTTAGTGCACATGAATTTAAAATGTGATTAGAGCTTGAATTAAACCTCTGAGTATTGCCTTTGAAGGATGTTAATGTCAAAATAAGCTAATGAATAAAAATCTGCAATATTTTACAAACATGAACATCTATCAGACAAAAACAAAACAGGTAACAACAATGAAAGAATGATGAAATCTTATCTTATACGTACAAGTAGGTTTCTAAAAAAGCATTTAGTAAACATTACATAAATAGTTAGTCCTTGAGCAAATGTCTAGCTACCATTTACCTCATTAATTTTTACATCAACTAGCGAAAAAATTATTTATTTTGTTCCCTCAAAACTACATGGTTAGTAACGAAGAAGACTGCTGCAAACAGAACTTACAAAAGCGAGACTACTCTATCAACATTTGTTCTTTTTTGCAGCATCTTCCTAATTTTCCCTTCCTATTCAATTACATAATTAGTCTCTGCTTTTAAATGTTATCAACCGTGCTGGGATTAAGTTTTTCCTATCACCAAGTTATTTGGGAGAAATGAAATTACGAATTCATCACACTGCCGGTTCAGTAGGCAACTGTAGGTATTTTTTCTGAGAAACATTTTAACCTTCATAAGTACAGTAATTATGTATGCATTTCCATACTGTCTGGGTACAAAAGGAAACATAAAATAAATAATGCTGACTCTTCAATTTCAGTGAGATGAATTACGTAATTTTTTGGGAGTATCATAATTATTTACAAAATAATTTTTTACTTAGCTCAGGATAATTTCCCTAACAATAGCTTCCTCCCAATTGTTTGACTCATTGGAGGTGAGTGCAGAAAAAAATATGATTGCAGAAATTTGATCAGCCAATAATTTTTCCTAATTTCTATCGATGAAGTCCTAAAATCAATTGTGTTGATCATTCATGAAACAGCTGTAGGTAGCATTTTTCTTCCAAAATTCTTCGGTATAATTTAATTAGAAATAAATCTAGTGCATTTATTTTTGCATTTTATTTTGCAAAACTTTGATCACTGAGTGATACTAAATTACCACAAAGATACTTTCTGTTCCATAATTGATGATGAGATTGAAAAGATTTACGAAATACTCAAAAATCCTAGGATTCTCTGCAATCCAGGATATGAATAACTGATCCACATCGGTAATGTTCAGTTTTTTTTTCTTCTTCTTTACATTAATCTTAGCTTTTCTGTCTGAAATATCAGACTAAAATGAATGATCTCTGTCAATCAAGCTGTATAGAAATATCATCATCTTAGGAAACAGCTGATCGGAGGAATATAAAAAAAGTTGGTGATGGAGCATACCTGAGCAAGATGTGTGAGGATCGCCGTGATACCCTGGAGGACAGGTGCATCGATATTTACCAGGCTCATTAAAACAAAGAGCATTGGCACCACATGGATTGAGAAGGCACTCGTTGATGTCGAAACAGCCTCCATGATACGCATCACCTTCATATCCTTGTGGACACTCACAATGATGTCCTCCAGGTAGATTCGTACATAAAGCTCCGGGTCCGCAAGAGCCTTGAAATTCGCATTCATTTATATCAACACACTGCGGGCAAAACAAACAATAAAAATTAGTTTCTCTCTGTCATCATACATTCTTACACACTCAGAGCCAAGTTGACTCAACGTAAAGATGTAGTTGCCCATCAGCTCCACCCTGAAAGAGCAAGCTACTCACTAGGTGCTGTACCACTTACATGACAGGTTACTGACAGTCATGAGAAGTGGTTATTATTGGCTGTTCAGTGATAAAACATTATCAGTTGCCGAAAACACTAAGAATTTTCGCTAGAGCTCGTAGTGTGATATCTTTTATTGGTAAGATATGGATTCAGATGACTAATGCAATCTTGACATGTGTGTGCATGATTAATCAAGACAGGAGTGCAAAAAAATATTCAGTGTGCCAGACTTAAGACTACCAAAAGATTGGTAGTCATCCTGACAAAAGGTTTAGAATGTCCCTATACTTCTAAAGAAAAAAAAAGAAAAAAAGTCGGCAAAGATTCGGTGCTTGTATCTATCCCCCTGGAAAGACTGATTATCGTTTACTAGGGTACCTATTACCGTACAAATGAATTTAGAATGATTGCGGCTATTTTGGTGAGGATAAAATATTCACAGACACAGAAGGGTACTAACGCACCTGTCAAATCCTTGGATAGGGCACTGATCATTTGAGTAGTTATGGAATAACAGTATGCTAGCATAGTTCACTAAACTATTTTAATGTATTATAAATGTAGGAAGAATGACCACGTAAGAATCTGAACTAAAAATATTTGATAAAAAATAAAGAGAGGAGACTTCGGCAGGACTTCGAGAGCAGAAGAGCAGAATTAGCACTTTGCAGATTCACATTATCACCACATTCACCTGTTGCGACCATAACCTCCAAATGAAAATTTGTATTTGTTTACACAAGTTTGCACCGGCGGAGCTCGGATGAAAACTCTGGATGAAAATTTATTTTATTTAGCTTTCATAACAGATAATGGCAGGGATTTTTAAAGGGCAATGTAAGTAAAATTAAAATATCTACAGCTCAATAGCCATTTAATCAAATGTTTCATGAAAATTATGAACTTCAAAGGATTTTTCCCTGGAGAGAGGGGGAAAATGGTTGGTACAGCTGACAACCGCTGTTACCGCGCGCGCCGTACTATAAACGGTACAAACTTCGGCGGCAATTTTTAAATTGACGCTCTTTTTCCGTTTTGCCGTCAGCGGTGTCGTCGCATCCTCCCGTCTTCTATAACTTCTTATCTAATTGAGGTAAATATTTGTAACTTAGGGGATGTTCATCGGTCAAAGGGAGCTTCTATATTGCCCGCAAAAATTATCAAGGGAGCTCCTGGGGGAGGGGGGGGGACGGGACCCCGACTTTTTTCCAATGGAGAGACACCCCCCCCCCCTCATGATACCTTGTTTGAAGCAGAAGAGAAGATCATTTTTCGCGCGAACCCGAAGTCATAATCTCAAACCGTTTCAAAATGGCCGAAAATTGGCGCCACAATTATTTTCTACAACTCGGTACATCACGTCATTTTGGCGCGAGAAAAACGAATTCGACTTCAGATTTTTTTTGAAAAAATAATAATAAAAAATCTAATTTATTAGAATGGTGACATGCGATGACAAATTCAAACCAGATTCATCCTTATTAGTTGAATCTAAAGAGCAGCTCTCATTCTGTAAATGAGTAAATTTCGATCAGCACTCAGCACGGCTGTCTGGGAAAAATAAAAAAATTCGGAATGAAATGCATTCCGAAATTTATTCCGAGGTTTTTGAACATTCTAAGCAAATAATAAAAAAGCATACTCACTCCATTGTAAGGGTTTCCATGATATCCGTGTTGACAATCACACGTGTAATTGCCGGGGAGATTTATGCATACAGTGTTGATGCCGCACGCATTTGGCAACTGACACTCGTCGATGTCTGCAAAAAGAAAATGTCAAAAATTAATGCATAAAAATCAATAAAGCCAAAAATGAGCACAAAGCAAAATAAATCAGAGGAATTTCAGCAGCGTGTACTTTTAGCAAAATTCACCTCTTAAAATCAACATCCATACTTTCGAAAATGCTTTACATTTCGACGGTGGGACTACCAGACCAGACCACGCATCTCGTTTGCGGTGTTTAAAAATCTTCGCTCCCACTTTATTTGTGTGAAGGAGAACAAACCAATATTATTACTTTACATGGAGAGGAAAAATCACGGAAGTTTTCAAGAATTGACGTTGAGTAGCTTTCCATCGAAAACATTACAGTATGACAGGAAGTCTGCTTCGCCGCAAACCGAGATACGTGGTCTATATAGTGGTTTCACCATGCATCCATATAATTTCTAGGACTTGGCTACCAAAATTGATGGTTTACTCTGACAGTCAAATTCATGGCATTGATGCAAATGCATTTTCTTCTGGACCTTCAAAGATGGGAGCCTCACTAGATTTCAGTTGAATCTTAAGGATAAAGGGAGTTGTGGAGGGATACAAATTTAGACTACATTTTGTAATTTGGAACTATAATTTCTGACTCATCTGCAAAAACACTTATGTGCATAGGGAAACCAATGGTACATACACTGTTTCTAAACTGAGCCAGGAATTATAGTTCCAAATTGCAAAATGTAGTCCATTTAGCCTCCGGAGTGAACTTTAAAACAATTCTTTGAAATCTCTAAGGTATACAGAATTCACCCAAAAAATTTTGTTCACATCTCTTTCCAGGTCAGCGTCAGCCTAGAGTAATTCTAAGTCAGCCCTGTCCCGTAGTTCCTATTAATAGAATCCTAGCTTATTCGCCCATGAGTCCCAAGGGATCCTCTAAAAAAACATAATATAACAGATTATAGAGGACACCGGGAAGACTATACGTCGCTCCTCTGACGTAAGGGCGTATCTCGATTTCCGCATAAACCCCAGAAAATACGGGTTCATTCGCAAAACAGGGCTACCGTAGAAGTTGAGGTACGCCATTACGTCAGCGGGGTGACGACTAGGCTGTCGGATCCCGTCATAAAACTCGCTGAAAAATGAGGAAGGAGATCGGTGAGGCGGAAAAATATGAGCGAGAAATCCTCCGGGTGGGAGCTAAGCGCGACCGGGGACCGGGGAAAAATAGTCATGACGATAACGCGAAGCGCAAGGACATCGGGAGGACCTTGGTCCTTGAACGAGGGGCCGGGGCGGGCGCTGGATGGTGAGAGTAGATTGCCTCCTGCTCCTGCATTTATTCGTTTATTCCCACCTCACGGAACTTTCTCTCCCCTCCAGGCCTCCCTCCCCCTCTTCGCGGCAGCTAATCGCTGAGATATGAATTTTGATGACTCACCAATCTCGCGTCTGGCTTATGTCTGCTCTTGAACGTTTCGAATCAATAGGTACGATTCTGGAGTTAACTGCTTCGCCGGTCCGCAAAACGAAGCAGCTCGACACTGAGCAGTCGACGTTTGGATCATACCTGGTAACGACCAAGTTTTTCACACGGATAAGCTCACTTTTTGTCTGCAATAAGGCTCACTCTTTGCCGTGTTACTTTAAGGAAGCGGTAACGCCTAATCGATTTTTTTTCTTTATCAAAATTCGACCAATTTTATTTTAACGAACCGAGGGATACCGCTAAAACAGTTAAATTTATCTTATTTTTTTATTTATTATTTTTTTTTTTTTTTAAAAAAAAAGAGTTGTGAGAGAACAGTAATAGTCCTCCATATCCTGCTGGAGAGCAATCTATTGTCTCGAACTCGATCCACGATTCAGAGGCTTCATCGTAGAGTAGACTATTTAGGAAGTTAAAACGCGTGATACGACTATTACGACTTCAAAGTAGGTTAAATTATATATCCTCAAAAATGAAGGAGAACTTGACCCTCCGCAGGCTCAGAGACTTTAACGCAGCAATAGAAAAGTCGGTTGGGACGAAACGCGTGATACAACTATTTCGACTCCCGTGTAGGTAATATTGCATGCTCACAAAATGAAGGAGGACATAATATCTCCGCAGACTAAAAGACTTTAACGCAAGGGTAGAAAAGTTGGATGAGACGAAACGCGTGATACAACATAGTCTCTTTCCAGCGAACTCAGACACTTTAACGCTTTTTAATCCACGCATCGTCATTTTTCTTTCCGAAAACAACATTCGTTGTTGATTCATTACCGTAATTCAAATGCAGCAAAATCTTCTTTCTTTTCTTCTTTTTTTTTTTTACAAAACCAATGCTGTTCTTTGCTCTTAATTCTACTATGTATTAAACGATGCAGTGCTTTCACCTCGAATAAATCTTAAGGGAATTGAATTCCTTCTCATTTGTGATCAAGCTGTCGCTTTACACAGCGAGACGACGGATGGTTCGTCCCTTGAAGTTCAATGGCGCAGTGGAGGGGGGAGAGAGGACAGATAAGTCAGATCGTATCAGAATTTTTTAATTTGCGCATGGTTTTTCAATATAATTTAAGTGAATTTACGGTACAATTAGGCAACAGCTAGGAGGAACCCGGCACGAGACGCAAAGCGCGACCAGTCGGCACGAATTGATTTTGCTCGCTCGTTCCAGTTATTACAAATAAATCAGTTACGACTCAAATCCCAATATTTACCGACAAAATGATGATTATGAGTATAAGCTGAGAGATTTGCTGCTCAATAGATATTTGCTCCTTGAAAAATAGTCTACTCTTGAAGTTTTCACATTATTCTGACTTATAATATGGCGGATTTTTGATAACACTCGTTTGTTCCTTAAAAACTGTAATTACATATTATAAATACGTAATTTACTGTTGAATATAACCTGTATTAATTAGCATAACAATACCTGAATCTAAGATAATTAAAACGATGAACGTATCGACAATATGAGGTGCATTATTTGGGGATTCAGGCGTAACTGTAGTACTTTGCAGTCTTTCAGCCAACTCTGGACCGTGGTTTTTTGATGAGAAATAAATGCGAGAAAAAATCTTGAGATATCATGCGATTAAAAAAGTTAATTTCCTTATTGATTTTAATGCTTTTCTTACCTTTGCATTCGACCTCCCCATCTCCGTGAAATCCCGGTTTGCACTTGCACAAAAAATGGGCGGGTAAATTGCAACATTCCGAATTTGCCACACACCTAGACGCTATCGCAGGGTTCGCACATTCGTCGATGTCTGTAAAAAAAAGGAGCAGCAATTTTGAAATTTGAGACGTTATGATAGATAAGTTAGTTTCCTGAAAATTAAATTTTATGAACGATCGGAGAAATCTTCACAATTTGATGAACAAAAAATAATCCGGTTTCAAACAGATTTCGAAAAGAAACTAGATTTTGCTGTTTCTGGTCTTAATTTGTGTTTTTGTTCGCCTAATTAGAGTTTCCTAGTTTGCATTCAAACAAAATAATAACCCAAAAAAGAAAGTAATCCGATAGTAGTTATCAAAATTTTGAGGAAAATAAGAAACTCTATGTTTTGAATTTTAATCACTTTCTAAGCCGCATTTATCCGCAACAGCAACTGTGCGCTGATTCGCTGAAGCAGGAGGTTACACGAGGAAGAAAGTCCCAGCAGCGGAGGAAGATATGCAGTACCGGTTTCCGTCATGAATGAGAGTATGTAATATGCATTGCATTATGCGATTACACAACGGAGATGCGAGTCAAGTTCAAGTGCAGCGTGCTTTGTGAAAGTTCTCAACAATTCATTATCGTTGGCACATGCCTTGAGCAGGTCTACTTCTCGTCTATTAAACTGCTCGATGTTTTACACTTGATGAGGAAGAGGCGAAGTCAGGAGGAGAAAGATTTGCTCATCAAAAGCACCGTAAATACTAGTCGTTGCTTGACAGTAACTTTCAAAATCATAGAGACATCTGTGTGGAGCCAATATACTGTTTTGGATTGAACATGAATGGGAAAAATACCCACTTGCATCTGATATTTCAAAGTTTTTACCTCTGCTTCATTAAAAAATGAACCACTATTGTTATTATCAGGAAAATTATAACCGTAGTATTAAAACCGTGAGGCGGTGTAATTTTATTGTAATTTTTTAGAGATGTGAACACTCTTTTCTGAAACCTTTACAAGAATATTCCTTGAATTCTTGTGGAAAAACTAAATTTGTTAAACTTATTACGGCCAATTTAGTGATTTGAATGGAATCTTTGATTCTCCACGAGAAAAATAAAATGGCATACAAAGATGGCTGCACAAATATTTGATTTGTAATGGCTCTTTTGCATATCATTTGACTCTTTTAAATAATGTTTGCACGAATTGAAATATGAGCATATCGCAAAGTTGTAAGCTCAGTGTGACATCTAACTCAATTAAGAGACAAATTGACAGAATTTAACTTATATTTTCCATTTTTCACAACGTCCATTGATCAGATTTTAAAATCGTTGATAAAACGTGCCGAGTAAAGAACAAAGTTTTAAATACCTAAAATACTGTACTACATTTGACACTCTTTAAGGACCACACGTTATTCACCCAACCTAGCCTGACCTAATCTAACCCAACCCAACCTAACCTTACCCAACCTAACCTTACCGTACCTAACCTTGCCTTACCTATCCTAACCTAACCAGATGGGAAAACCCAGTCGAGCGGTATCCAATAGGTGGAACTTTCATTATTTTTCCTACCTCAGAGTCTCAAAGTGAAAATCTGGTTCCAATATCACTTATCAATGAATTTTAAAAGCCTACATTAATCGTTGCCTTTTTTTGGTACTAAAACGGTCATAAAACCTTAATATCTTAATCAAGCAAATGTGCTGCCTGCGGAAGGAGGCGACATTCACCTACCGCTGAAAACGCTGCTCCCATTTATCATCGAGGCCCTGAGTTCAGCACAGCTTCACACTGCAGTGGCGTGCCGTGAATGATCGATTATCGATATCTCGCCATTTGAAGCTATGGTAAAGAATCGATTACTAAGGTGTTCGCTGCGAACACCTTAATAATCGATTCTTCACCACAGGTTTAAATGGCATAACAATCGATATATCGCAATTCACGCCACGCCACTGCAGCGAAGGTATTATCAATGATTATAAAGTGCACTTAGAAGTAAAAGGCCGCTTAGAGAGGCTGCTAATTTTATGGCGGGAGTGTGACACTGTAGGTGCATTAGCCTCGCGGGCTTTTTTGAACCTGTGAACGGGTGTCGAGGTTTCATTGTAGAGTGGAGGGGAGGGGGAAGGGGGGCACATGTTCGCGTGGTGCGTTTAGCGCGACCTTCGTGACACCGTTTATCAACGTTGTTAAATTCTTATTTTCTTAGTCCGCACTGAGAAAGAGATGAATGCATTCTGCCGTGCTAAGGAAAAACGCCTTATGAGCCTTTAGACGCTGCCAGATTTCCTTCGCTAAAAACCGAATTTACTGGTAAAATTTTGAATATTTTTTTCTAAAATGTTCGGACACTTTTGTGCGCAATTTAATCCAAAATATCTGCAAATTCCAAGGAAATATATGCATGAATGTCGTCAAAAATACATGTTTTATCAAGGGAAGTTTTGCAACTCTCGAATGTTCATACGGCGTTTTTCCTTAAGACGGCAGCATTCCATCAGCGGTAATCTGAAAGTCGAGATTCCTAGTCAAGTTTTTCGTCAGTTTTCCGTTGAATTTCGTGCGTTAATTTGGTATTAAACTTTAAGGTATTACTAAACAAACGGTTCCATGCCGAGAAATTTATCTGTCATTCTCAGTTTTTCAGTTAAAGTTCTATCGATGTAAATCAAAATTTGACACCACTGGACGAAGAAAAAGGTTAGATGTGACTCTCTGTCATCGATTCAGATCTTAATCATGAATTTGCAAAATGACACAAAGCCTATATTTGGCGTGTACTCTTTGAATGATTATTCTTTCTTCACTTTTTAATATATTCCTAACATAAGTTTTAAACGTTCCTTAATTTGAACTGAGCTGTGCTGAACAAATGGATATGTAAGCCAATGCCATTTCAGAGAGCATTGACCACGTGATTTAAAAAAAAAATAATATAAACAAATAAAATATGTTTGGGAATATATTTATTCACCATAACTTGCCAACAACGCATGACATTTGTACTGACAACTAAATGCTCCGCTGCAGCAGAATTCCGGTTCCGCATTTTATTGAAGCATAATTTACGGTGATAAATTCACAGCGATAAAGTCACATTCACACTGATAAACGAGCGACAATTTACACAAATAACTACCTACTTCGACTTGCAAGTACACTCCAGACTGTGCGAGAGTCTCTCTCCTTTTTCACTTGATCATTGGAAATTGGAAAATAGCAACACAACTTGGAAACATTTCTTCATAAGTAGTGACGTCCCTATAAGCAAAACTGAATGAAAAGTTCGACCATTTAATGTTCTAATCCTTATCTCTTTTCTATACGTGTGGGTTACTGGTTACTCATTCATTCACATATAGCAACTGAGGAATGGAAGGGAATGGAAACCTAATTTTTGAAAACAAAAATTGAGGAAAATCAGTGACACAGAGTATTACCTGTGTGCCTATTCCGATCGAAATTTATGGTTTTATACACTCATCGAAGAAACTAGATCTCAATAAATTAAGGCCAAAAAAATATGGAAGATGAAATTAAGGGTTTTGAGCTTACCTTGGCAGTGAAAACCATTTCCAGTGTAACCCGGAAAACACGTACAATGGAAGCTCCCCAAAGTATTGGTACAATGAGCGAATACGTCGCATGGCCTAAATTTACATTCGTTTTCGTCTGAAAAAAGCAAACAAAAGAACAAATCAGACAACAATATAAACTACTGCATCAGTGTTTCAAGGAAAAACAATGATCCCTTAAAACAAAGAAAAAAACACATAAAAAAAGTACAAATAAATCTTGAAACATGATCAAGGACCTTTATATGTCGCGATAACACACGAGAACTATTTGCTTCACATATATTAATTACAGGTGTCAAGTAATCCGTAAAAAGTGGGTGTCTCAGGTCGTTGTATGAGCCTATACAATCCTATAAATCTAAAAAGAGCCGTCAAATAGCGATAACCTTTTACCGAAACGCACTGGCAATTAATTTATAGTAAGTGCAAAGGCTCTCTTTCACGTGAGGAAGAAAATGCAAGGTGCAACCACACAGGGTAAACATAAATCATTGTGACCTTTAAGTTTCACGACAGGTTTTCAATTCTTATAGAAAAGCAAAAGATCAGAGATAATCTGTTTCATCAAAATAGTCCAGCAAAGCGGTGATTTTGCGTGACAAAATTGACCCCAATTCCCATTCGAATGACTTAGGCTATGGATCGAATTTATCAGCGCACTGCATCAAGTTAGGTCTGAGAAAAAAAAAGATTGAAGTTTAATTCCTCTATATAACTGAATGCTACGGACAAAGTTTGTGAAGGATCATTAGAGGCGAGGGGGAAGGGGGTAAAGAAACGAAGAATGTAATACTTGTATGCCTTCTTGATGCGAAGCTATCATAAATGGTAATTTTTCCGTTAAAATGGGAATACATTACATAAAATATTATTCGGATTTTTCCGAAACTTTTAAAGAAAATCAGTGATTTTAAGGCGCCCTTTAATCAAAATGGTGCATTGGGAAAAATGACTTGATCTAAGCAGAAATATTCTTAAATTCTCCGCGAAGAAGAAATTTGTTTATATAGGGAAACTTCGCTCACTTCAAGCAAAAACCTGCTTGACACGAGCAATTTTACGCTAGATTTAAAATAAAATCTTCTTGATGGCATATATATTTAAAGCACTTTTTTCCAGTGTGGTTTTTTAATTTTACCATCAATTTTCTTTTTAGATTCGCAACTTTTGTCATTGCCAGCTTTGGACGGCTCGCAAAGCGCGATAAAGCGTGCGCGCAAAGCGGCCATGCTGAGATCGTGATATGCACCAGCTGTGGTTTTGATTTTTATCGTCCACGCTTGTCTCGAATCAGCGAGATAGTTCAAGCCAACGCGCGAAATGATTATAATAGTTGGGTACGTAGTTGATTAAGGCTCAGAAATGGAAAGTCGGATCGACAGAATCTGAAATAAAACGGTCCTAATAACTGGGGTCAAGTTTTAATGTCCAAGAGTGTAATTAGACTACATTCGTGTCCTGGCGTTTAAGTCTCTCGGTGAATTCGTATCATAAATTCCCGTTACATTAGAGTCTCGCTAAAGTTTCGTATGTCATTGGATTTGCACCCTCGAAGATTTTGCCCTTTAGAAAACCATTTCAAATGAGAGCACTTCACACACAATGCACAGTATGTACCTGAACCTTCGTGGGTATAATTCCAACCGCTAGAAAATTTGACAGAGCATCCTCATTACTACCGGTTACACCGCAACTTTTGTTCGGAATGTGAGTTCATCGAACTTTTCTAACAAGACTCACCATGTAACTCTCGAAGATCTTTCAGGTGATTCACTTCACGCATCAGAAAAATTGTCAGACCTATGCCGCCGTGCTAAGGAAAAACGCCGTATGAACATTCGAGAGTTGCCAAAGTTGCCCCAATAAAACGTTCATTTTTGAGGAGTATTACGAATATTCAGATTATTTATACCCGAACGCAAATAAAATTCTCGGAAAAATTTGATGAAAAATATTTTTTAATTTTAATTGTATCGAAGGAAATTTGGCAACGTTTGGAAGCTTATACGGCATTCTTCCTTAGCACGGCAGTATGGCTCCATGCTCCTTGAACTTAGCACACGTTTTGCTTACATGCTTCATCATCACTCTGACTGTCCGAATTTGCAGCATTTAAATATCAAAAACAGTAAAGAGATGGTTTTGTTCGGCGAGTCACGAAAGAAGTCAAGTCTTTACAAACTGCTCAATTCATCGTTGATATTGCGCTGTTGTAACTAATGCCTCCTTGTTTCAGTGGCGGGGCGTGAACGCTCGATTATCGATATGTTCCCATTTAAAGCTATGGTGAAGAATCGATTATTAAGGTGTTCGTTAGGAACACCCTGTTTTTCGATCCTCTTCCATATGTTTCAATGGTAGACCGATCGATATATCGCAAAGCATGCCACGCGACTGCCTTGTTTATGGATCACTGCTGTATTACATACTGTTGGTTAGGCCATTCTGTCTTTGAGGATCTTTTCCTCGTTACTCTACTTTTATGGATTGATACAGTCATCATATTCTTACATTATTTACGTAAAAGAGGAATAATTTGGAGTAAGTTTGCTGCTCTTTTTAGCGGCTCTGGTGCTTGCACTAGAGCTGCTATTCCGGACGGTCCCAGCTGGGGAGTATCATTGGACCATGTTACATTGGAGAGACCGCGCGTTGGTTGATGGGAATCGGCGCCATTTTCTGCTGTTTAGGGGGGACTGATTTTATTTTAATTGATATATTTTTCCTGTGAGCGAATGCTATGTTGTGTAGTGTATTTTTGGAATCATGGTGATACTGTCAATAATTCAAAACGGGTCTGTGCTTTAATATCGCACTGGAAAAAATGTACTTTACGTTTAAAATTTGAAAATTCAAATCTATAAGTTTTCGCGCTTTTTTCGAAGAATGCCGTGGTTGGAGCTTCCTAGTCATACTACTCGACATCAGCTGATAGCAAACAAAGGTTACCAAGGAAACCGTAAACGCGTAACAACTACCGTCGCCAGAGCCGCTTTCCGACGCGAATGCGTTGGAGCTTCCTGCTTGTTTTACACTCCTAGTAAAAAAAATTGTGTTCGGGAGAGTCTTCACGAGAATCGGCTTAATTTTTTTTCAAGTTAATTTGAAAAAATATATCTTTGATTTTAAGAAAAGTAGAAAACGTACCTGGAACTGCACAATCGCAGCCTCCAAAACCGTCGTTACAATGGCACTGAGAATCCAAACACGCACCGTGAGTACAAACTTGGCCGTTGTGTAGTCCGCACGTATCTGTTGGCAAAAAAAATGAAGTATACGTTATAATTGATCCGGAAAAGTCCTCAAAATCCAAAGAAATTATTTTGACACAAACATTTTAGTTATTATAAATCGTTAAGGTTGAATCATAGCTAAAGAGAATATTCACGACAAATCGGATACTTCCTTTTAGCTGCCGTCTTGATACTCGTCATCCTTCTCGAGGATGGAGGAGGAGAAGAAAAATAAACTTCCAAAGGTTTTCTCCAAACTTGATGATCAAGTTGAGAACCATTCATACAATATATTGCAAACATTTTCCCGATACATTGCCATATTGATGACAATGCATGTATGATCACAAAATCTCAAGTTCATTCCGTAGTTATTGAAATCCATAGAATTTCAGAAGCTTGGGCTCCTATATCTACAAAAAGCTACACGAAAAAGTGATTAATATTTGTCTTCATCAAAAGTATTATGCTTATGCCGTAGCAAATTAGCAATCATTTCATCCGAATGTGCACGCACCTTTTTTTTGGAGAACTCTCATCTCATTAGGACGAGTAGACTCGTTAATATCCACCCGCTCTTGTGTGTTTTTGGACCGGTTAAGTAACAAAGATTTGTCCGTCCATGCAGTGCCTCTAAATATGGTATCTCGTGCTCAAGAGCCGCTCTTTCATCACTGAGCTAGTAAAGTGGTTACTGATTTTTTGAGCCTCTTGCGCAATCGACGCTAAGTTTTGATTTAACGCTTGAATTGATAGCGAGCACAGGGTCTAACGCGGACCTGAATCAGCAAAGTGGGGTACGGTTGGGTCTCGGTCGCAACGATATGAAACAACAATAATTCCTTAGTTAATAGTTATGGAACTTTTTATTGTGTTTTAATGTTTCTCGCAAGTTTGAAGGCGGCACTGGTTTCTTTCCAAAATCAGAACTGCGGCTAAAATAAATGTTTTATTAAATTAAGTTTCACTCTTTCCTGATTATTTAACTTTTCGTGTCTTGTAGTGCAATTATGAAACATGCTTTACTTTTACTGGGTGCATGTAGGGAGTAATTGGATTACATTTTGCAGTTGGGGACTACAATTACTGGCCCATTCGTAAAAACGCCCATAAACACAGAGAAATGAATGGCGCGTACGTCGTTTCTAAACACACTTATTTTATTAATCTCGGTAGTTTGGTCATATCTCCTCTAATAGTTGTTTATTTTAGAACTTAAGTATATATTCTCATGCTTAATTCACTCAATAGATAATTGTCAAACATAAACAACGCAACATTTCAGACGCCTGCACATTCTCCATTGTTTCTTAGTATTTTGACTATTTTGTGGTTATGATGAGCTGACAAAACTCATTCACGTACTTGCCCATGTTTGGGAACCGAAAGAGACTGGGAATTAAAGCTGTCATGATGTCATGACTTAAAGAGTTCACCCAAATAATTTTTCCCCAAAATATGAAGTTCTGAAGTTATGGTACTCGTATTTGTGAAGTTCGATCCAGTTGTCGCGGTTCCCGAAGGAGCTTCGAGCATGCGGTCTCGGGCGACGGGTGACCACATGTGTTCGTGAGAAGTTGCGAACCGGTTCTGAGTGGATATGCATTGGTTTGAGCGGAATATTCGAGGATGGAGCCTGACCTGACTCAAGAGGCGTAATTCATTAACGAGCCGGGCGGCGACTGCGACTCGGGTGACTCGCCTCCTTCTTGGTTCATTCATTCACCAGTTGGATGCGTCGAACCCGTTACGTCACTCGCGAGTAGTAAAAGTGATGCCCGCTCCCGGTCCTTGAACCCAACTCGCGTTACGCTTTACGGCTTTGAAGGTGAGTCTCCCCTCCGCCTTACCTAATAATATCAAATCTCTGTATAGCCATGGGGTGGGCATTCGATTTGAAATTATTCTGAATTGTGACCGTCCACGGAATTGGCGGATCTCCGTAGTCTATGCGCTGGTTACACGCTCAAATTTCCATCAATTTCCGATCAAATGGTGACTGGTGCGCACCATCTACCATCAACTTTCTGCGGCCTGCAAAAATTTGATGGTAGATGGTGGAGCTGTGGGGCTCATCCTTCATCTGATTTCCACACAACCGTGCTTATTTCGTGCTTATTTCAATCAACACGCTGTTTTAATTGATTTTACTCATCAATCTAGATGACTATCGACCGCCATCTTGGTCATCATTTTGATCGGAATTTGACGGGAATTTGATCGTGTAACCAGGCCGTTAGGCTATCACAGTGTCACGAATGGGAATAAAGATTACAGTTTAACCAATTGCAAAGATTATAAACTGGAATGGACCGTGACATTGGGGGTGCGACAAGGAACGAATGGAACGGGAGAGGGAACAAAGATAGGAACTCGGGAATGGGTTGATCAAAGATTACAAAAACATCCAATTTAGGTAATCTTTATTCCCGTTTGCGACATCCAAGAGCCGCGTTGTCTTAACTATCAGTATAAAGGGACTTACTGCGGATCCAGCAAATTGGCAACATTGTCTTTTCTTCATTTAAACCTTTGGCAATGTATCGATTCTTGGAGGGGCCAGGTGCTTCGACAAGAATCGATTATTTAGCATAGGTTTAAAACGAGAAAATCCGGTGTTGCCAAATTGCTGGATCTCTTCTGGTCCATAGAAATAGAGACTATTCGTTTTGGAAACCCCGCACGTTTTGGGACAGAAAATACCCAAAAGTATCCAACCAAACGGGAGTTGGGTGTGAAGTTTGCAGTTCAAAAAGTTACGAGAAAAGATAGTTCAAATTTTTTGTCCACCATGCTCGGCGTGCAAAATTTCCGAATTAGAATGAAACTTTCCGTCCTTTAAGGTTAAGGGCGCAAAAATGAACTAAATCGCTCGAAATTTCAAATTCGGTACACTAGAGAGCGTTCCCGTCGTAATCTCAAAACAATGTGAATAATTGAAAAATTTTTTTTGGGCGTAAAATGATGAAAAATATTTCCTTGCTGAATAATTTTTGGAACAAAAAGAAAGACACGAGTAAGTCTTAGGTAATAACTGCAGCAAGTGGAATGCCAAATTTGGAGCAGATTTTGCGGAGGGAAGTTATTCAACGCACGACGGTTAAGTTTGCGTCACTGAGTTAGTGTAACGAATATTTTTACATACTAATAAGCAGAGGTTGTGTATTTAAAATCAGCTGATTCTAATCATCGGTTGGCTACGGATGGATGCAACTGAAAAGTATTTTGTAAAAGGTTTTTGCATAGATTGATTGCAAATGGTTAGTATGTGTTTCCTAGTTCATTCTACAAAAACAACAAGGCCGAGGCAAAAATAAATGGCGATAAATGGTAAAGTAAATGAAACAAAAATTCAAACTGTCTTCTTTTTTTATTCATAGAACCGTAGTCTCCAACGCTAAATGAAGAAACAGGATGTATCACAAGGACGCGGGAATCTACAATTATTTTCCTGGCTTTTATTAGGCAGATTATGGTTATATTTGACAACAGGGGACCGTCGTTACGATTTAGTGAGTAAACAAGTTATTAGACGAAAACCACATCATAAAAACGTCAAGTTCGATAGATAATCCTGGTAGCAACCGATTGTACCATCGAACGTCGATGGAATTTCAGAAGGTCTTCCGTTATCACAGATCAGTTTATTGTTTTCCGGTAGGTATGCAGCCACCATGCGGAGTTGTTCAATTGTTAAACTTCGATGTGACCCCTGATTATAAGTGGTCAAAGGTTTACCATAAGCTGCATAACTTTTAATCTAAAATGCAGAAGCAGATTGTTCCAGACTTGGAATCAGAATCGAATGGCACGACAATAATACGAAACATATTTTCTTGGAACATTCAGGGAACATGCTTTCAAGAAGATCCTTCATTACAGGCATCAACCATGTTGTAGAAACTTTTTCATGTTTGACATCTTGATGGAAGTAAACAGGCACCACTTTTATACAAAAAGAGCAAATAAAGGCAAAAATAAGGCAAAATAGTGTCCAACTTTTATACCCATTCGTTAAAGTCTCTCAATTTATACTTAGGAAAAAGTATCACTCCTATATACTTCGAGGCGAAATACGAGTAGTGTCTAACTTTTATACCCATTCGTTAAAGTCTCTCACTTTATGATGAGTGGCAATTTGGCTATCGTATAATCAGCGGAAAGATCAATGACGTTTCCAATTATTGGAAACAATTTCTGGTGAAAATACGATTTACGAGTGAAAATTTTGCAAATTTTACGTATGCAATAACGTCCTGTCGTCTGGATCACGACGATGAATGCATTTATAATGAATATTTGAAGAATTCACCAACATCCCTGACTTCTCTACTCCAATCAGTTCGATAATTTTTATTCCAGGTATTGTAATTACAAAGTTCATTCCTATTGGAGAGCAATACCAAACGTATTTGATGGTCCCATAGGTGGCGGAAGGGAGGTTAACGTTTCCTCAACCACGTGCGAGAGTGCTAATGCAACTAACAGGTTCGAATGCACGGTATAGCGTTCAATAAAGTCGATACCGCGCACGACTGCATATTAATGTGCTAGGAAATAGATATTTAAAGATTAAATAACGAGCATTGAACTCTTTTATTCGCCCTCACGGAGCATATTTGCAACTATGCAACTTGCTTAGGTTTAAACAGTGGTTCACTGTACGCCTTAATTCCGACCGAAAAGCAATGGACCACAGTTAGCGCAAGTCTCCAAACATGGTGCAAATGATTCAAGCACCACGATATATGTTTCCTCCACAACATTTACGAAGAACGCTATTCTTGCGATGAGAAATTCAGGAATCAACTCCTAAACGAGATAGTTGTTAGTATCTACACGTGTAACTACACGCAAAATTTAAACTAATCGGTAAGAGTGCAAATCGTACAATGATGTCATTTGTATTTTAACCATTAATTGATGCTAGTTAAAAACTTCTGTCTTTTAGGGTCGATTTCCTGATACATTGTTGTGCGACACATTTTCTGTGCATAATTTTAGGAAGCAAACATATAA